TTATAACATCAACTCTATAATACTGGCTGTTGCAATAGTAGATCAATGATAATATTAAGGGATGATGAGACTATTCCAGTTTACAAGTATGCTGTACTGGAAAGAGAACATGTTTGAGGCCAAAAGACCTGATATTTGGTCCCAGTCAATACAACTTGCATAAACTACTTAAATTTTTTGTTTCATTTCCTGATTAGTAAAACCAAAAGGAAAATATAACAAAAAATAAGCTCCAGGGCTTTTTATAAATAAGCTACCAATTTGAAAATGTTCTGTAAACTACAATGTGTTAAATAGTATCACGCACTGCTCTGTTTAAATAGAAAATAATGTATGTCTGTATGTCTGTGTATCATATAACATTTTAGGAAGCTTTTAGGACTTACAAGAATCTTATTAATACATTTAGAAATTTTATTCTCTTTAAAAAGTCTATTTTCATGTCTCTTTTGAATTTGAGTTTTTCAGATAAAAGATGCCTATTTTATTCTGGTTGAAAGCATGAACAGAATAAACAATGAGCTCTGTGAAGAATGTTCTATGAACCCGTATCAAACTCAAACTCCTGTGTCACTCCGGTATGCCTGATCACTGGGTATAACCACGTATTGGTGCAGTGAGCATTCCTGTTTAATAATTAAGATAATTACTGATTTCCTCTGCTCTTTCCATTGCCACTTCATAAGTCATGCATTATTGGTCATTTAATGTTTTGTTCTCATTGACCACAGACTCTAAATCATTATATGTGAGTTACAGACCTTTACAATGCCTAGTGGCATTTGCCACCGGTGACAACAATAATAAATGATGTTGAGCTGAAGCTAGGAGGAATGAAATACAGAAAGTAAAATGATAATAAATAACTGTCACTCCATTACTAAACAGTGCCTGGTTCTAGCACATGTTCAACACAGCAGAGTCTGCATAATCCAAGAACTAAAAAGGAATTTACTCTTTAGTAATAGCAACAACAAAAAAGAAATTCATTTACGCATCTTGTGCTGTGACCCTAAATTCCACACTGAGCATGGCACGAATATTTAAAGTGTTCTCAACAGAATCTCCTTCAATATCTCATAGTATCTTCTCAAAGTGAGAGTGCACGTGAAGTGTGCCAAAAGTTATACTCAGTCCAATGGATATGAAATTACAGCAATTATGGCTAGAATGTGACAATAATGTCTCAGATGGATATGAGACTGAAGACATAAATATCGTTTTATTATTATAAGGAGCATGAAACACAGATATTAGTATAAAGAATATGGGACTCAAGAATACAAGATATCTGGTAGATATTGTAAAACCTATCTAAATATAATGCTGGTTCTTGTTGAGTGATTTGGGTGGAGACCAAATTTGAGCTATCCTTTTCCTTGGCCATCTGTCTCATAAACTTAACTTATGAGAGTAGAATCTGTTGTAATAAGCTCACAAGGCAGATATAATGTAAGGGGTGTTATTGGTATCAAATCTTATACAATATAAAATAATTTCTCTTCAAAATGTAAAGGAAAATTTGTGTCTTCCCCTTGTCAGACAGCTGTGACACCCTTTGCTCTATCCTCTTTCTCATTCCATTAATGACACATCATGTTTATTGCTCTGGTGGCAGTCTATCTGTTGCTTAGTAAAGGACTTTTCCTAACTTTATTTCCTAAGTAAATTGACATGTGGCAATCACAGAAGGTCTCCGAGTCTGAAGACATAATCCTTTTAGCAGACAAGTTACATAAATCTGAGCCTTAGTGATCTTATTAGTAAAACTGGAATAATATTAATATAGCAAAGTTAATGTGAAATTTAAGTAAATGGTATACGTGGAGTAACTTTCTTTTATTATTTTCTTCCAAAAAGTAGAGTCTGAGATTGGAAGGTAGTTTGTTTGGGAAATAGATATTAGAAAACAGAACTGGGAGCCTGGGAAGAATGAATCAGGAAAGAAAGGAGAGCCAGTCTAAAGACACAGTATCAGCATGGTTACACTTGATCCCCTTGGGAACCCTTTTAGGTTCCGTGGAAAATGCATTTCCGAATTGTCTATCTTAGAAATAGAATAGGGCTATTGGTAAAGAGTCGCTCTATGTGGGGGTCATGCTTCATATGAAGTTGTATATGTATTATCATCACTGAGCAGTTATCAGACGGATTCCACATAGCAGTTGCTAGGGAGCCCCAGTGCAGGAAGTGAATAAAATCCAAATTATTTAGGATTTATGCAGAGATTTGTAAGAGCAGAGAATATCCAGGTTGAATATAATGTTGCCACCAGTAGATTTCACGATTTCGTGGTCACGATCTATCTTGTCACTAAACAGTGGTGAGGTTTTCACCCAGCGGCATATTCTGAATGAACTGGATTGTCCGAGAACTGTGCATAGCAGAACGCTAATGCAAGATGCAGAGCAGTTTCAGGGTAATTTCCACAACATTAGGAGCAGTGGCTTCTATGAAAGATCCTTAAGATTCAGAATCACAGAAATAATCAAGTTTGTAACCTATGATGGGCAGCCAGTCATCTAGCTGGCCTGGCCTATACTTTGGACCAAGAACAAAAATACAAATGAAAATAGTAGTAATAATAAGTTTACCATCTTATCATATAATGTGGAAGTTTTTGAAACACTTCCATATGCATTATCGTATTTGAAGTTACCAATGATGCTGTGAGAAACTATGGTATTATTCATCTCATTTTTCAAATGAATAAATTTGGTTTTCTAACCAAGTCTTCATCGTCTACAAGTTCTAAGCCAGAATAAAAACTGAGGTGTGTTTATCCTAATTCTGGCATTCTAAAAAGAGCCTTAATTTTAATAAGATTTCCTTTGGTCAATTACTTTGTAAGCCTTGACACCTACACTTCACCTTTAGTGACATCAGCCTGAGTGAACCATGCACCCACTTCCCTGAAAGCATGAGCAAAGTTTACCTTTAGCAAAATGTGTTTCCAATTCAATTTCCATTCATAAGATGTAATCTCTAACAATGATGCCAACTAGATTTGAAGGAAACTAAATCCAGATGCTGTGTGACCCTAGGCAGTTTTTAACACAAATTGGCTACTAGAGGGCTGACAAATAACCCGAATAATCTGTAAGAAACTCAAGAAAGTAGCATTTTCCAATATATCACCAAATACTAGCTATCTGGCTATGTAATAATGGTTAATGGTGTCTACTTGGAGAACTTTTTTTCCTGCACTAAAATGAAATATTCCTATTACCAAAATTTGAGATAAACGATGTTTCTGATAAAACATAGGTTTTATTTTCTTGACTGATAAATATTATTTCTAGGCAATCTGAACATCTGAAAACATGGAACTTTCCCAAATTTATCTTTTCCCATATTATGTTTCACCATATTTTCTGCATTTTATAGTAAATGAGAAAATACTTAGCACACTGTAAAAACAAATATGTAAATACAAGATATTATTGTTAATAAAAAGATATAGTTAAGTTCTAATGAGATAGCTTTTTAAACATTCATTTCACATGTATGAAAGTAGATAAATAGAAGTAAAATATTTTACATAATACGTTGTGGGATTTTTAAAAAGGCAATCCAAAAGAATAGTAGAAACAGAATCTAACTCTCTGCATCTGTTTAAAATTAGATATTTTTCAGTGTATTCACTTATTTTCCATTCTTAGGAAATAGAAATCCAAAGGATTATAGGTAAAATTTGGTAAAGCCTAAAATTTTTTTGTTTTTTTTTTTTTCAAGTCAGTGTCCACAAGCCATAGAGCAGAGTAGAATATCAAAACATGTAAGGGAATATCAATATTTTTATTAAAGGAAATGTGCACTAACATGCATTTGTGACATGGAGTTTACCAAACAAGTCTCTGCTTAAAATGTTTCTGAGGAGCTTGTATAACAGTATGTCTACAAAAACAGAGTGTGCGCCAGCCTTTCAATGTAAGTTTTTCAACATCAGATAGATCTATGAGAGACCAGAAAACAGAGGGAAAGGTTAGGAATTTGCTTCCATCTCCAAATTTTATGTCACTGAATTTAACTAGCCTAATAATAATACTAATAATGATGATCAGGATAATCATACTATTGTTGCTGCTACTACTACTATGAATAATAGTAACTAATAGTTATTGAGAAGTTAGTATGAACTAGGTACTATATAAGTGCTCTGTTAGTTGACTCAGTTAATTCCCACAGTAATCCTCATATGAAGGATACTATTAGCATCTCTGCTTTACAAATGAGGGAACTGAGGTACAGAGAAGCTAACTGACTTTCCCAAGTAACATCCCAGAAGGAGGTGGCAGATTCACACGCATTCCCAGGAAGCCTTAGGCATCCTGCTGTACTACGTGGGTTTCAGATCCAAGGTTTGTAGTTTGGTCTGCAGTTGCAAGCTGTAAGTGGCTAGGATGCCAAACTTTCACAGATACCCAGGCACTGGGTGGGAGTAAAGTAAAGTACAATATCTCAGAGTAATTCAGAAATCAGAATGAACATATTTGGAGTTGTGTGTGATGGTGGTGGTCAAGGTGGTGGTGGAGGTGGTAGGGGTGGTGGTGGTGGTGGTGGTGTGTGTGTGTATGTTTTGGGGGGCAGGCACAGGAGAAGTTATTGTTGAGAAAGAAAAGTAGATTATTGACTCAGATGAGTTTTCTTTTCCACTAGAATTTCGGAGTATATTTACAACTTCTTCGTTTCTTTTTTCTACTCTAAGCAAACACGTACATATTTCACTTTTATATTCCCATGACTCCTATAAAGATCAAAAGCAGTATGGAGTGATTCAGTACATGACCTGAAATGGACTTACTGTGAGCTCTCAAGATAGAGGAAAATAATTCCTCTCATGTGGTTTTCCTTAATGCTAAGGCTTTTCTCCATGTGCTTCACAGAACTAGCTCCAGATCCAGGAGTCCCACCTGTTAGAGGCTGCCTAGATTGACAAAGGGAGGGCACAGCCTTCAATGACACAGTACATGCTTCTCCCACTAGGGGAAGTGACATACCCTATCAGTTTTCCCTTCGGTCTGAATGCTGGTGTGACTGCGGACCTCATGTTCCTCTTCAAGGTCAGAAACATCCTCCAGTTCCTCTGGGGTCTATAAAAAGAAAGCAAAAATATTGCCAGTGGGAATGTAAAAGCATTTCTTCTTTGGAAAACAACATGGCAGTACTTTAAAAGGGTAATCCTAGTGTTACCATATGACCCAGCAATTTCACTCCCAGTTGTATATTCAAGAGAAACAAAGGCATATCTCCACACAAATACGTATACACAAATGTTCACAGGAGCATCAGTCATGATAGCTAACAAATGGAAACCAAATGTATACCTACTCATGAATGGATAAACAAAATATGCTCATGGGTACAATGGAATATAATTTGGCCACAAAAAGGAGCAAAGTACTGATACACACCACAACACAGGTGAACCTTGAAAACAACATCCTAAGTGAAGGGAGCCAGCCACAAAAGGCCATATATTGTGTGATCCCATTTACGTGAAGAGTCTACAACAGGCCAATCTATAGAGATAGAGATTTAATTAGTGGTTCTAGGTGCTAGGGGAAAGGGGAAATGGGCAATGACAGCTGATGGGTATGTGGTTTCTCTTTGAGATGATAACAATATTCTGCAGTTAGATAGTAGGAATGATCACAAACCCTTCTGAATCTACTAAAAAACACTGAGTTGTATCCTTTAAAATAGTGAGTTTTTATGGCATATGAATTATATTCCAATAAATTATGAGAGAAAAAGAAAGCAAAAAAATGATCACAAGGAAAATTTTATTTCAGCGAATAGCAATTTGGCTACCCACTATGTGGTTACTGCAAACTAAGATGCTTACAGTTGATAAATGCATCAGATAATTATCATTAAAATCATATATCATCAAAATGCCACGAGAAATTATCAAGAAATTAAAATTTTAGGGACTTAATAAATAATTTAACTTGAAATTCAGTGTCTTTTATAAAGAGTTAGCTAACTTCCATCGCTTCTTTCAATTTCAGCTTAAATACCTCTTTCTCAGGGAGGTGTCTTGCTCAGGAATCCTCTAGACTGGGCTGGATTCTCTGCCAAGTGTTTCCTAGCCCCCTCTACTTTAACTGCCATCATGATCATCATACTTTAATATATCATTGCTGAATTAGGCAGCTAATGGTTGAACTGTCTATTCTGTGAGGCAAGGACATGTCTTCCTTGTCATTTTTGCTAATACAGGTCAAAGTACTTAACAAGAATTAGCCTAGTATTTGTTTCAGTGCACAAGGTCTCAATATTTTTTTTTATTTCAATAGCTTTGGGGATACAAGTGGGTTTTGGTTACACAGATGAATTGCATAGATGTGAAGTCTGAGATTTTAGTGTGCCCTTCATCCAAGTAGTGTACACTGTACCCAATACACAGTTTTTTATTCCTGACCTTTCTCCCATCCTCCCTGCTTCTGAGTCTCCAATGTCCATTATTCCACTCTGTATGATTCCTTTGCTAGAAAATACTGGTGACAAACCCAGAAAATAAGTATTTAGGTTTCATAGAAAACAACCAAAAATGAAGTAGAAGATGTCCTTGGGTCTGTATCTTTCATGCACATACGGTTGTTGAAGACTGGAAAGGGGCAGATCCTGTCTCCTTAGACTAGCTCTGATTTGCCTTAAATCTTGCTTTACACACAGACATTCTGTTTATTTTCTGGGTTGCCAAGAGCCTTTCATCTCTTGGGAGCACTCCAGAGATGGGGACATTTGATGATTAGCTCATATTATAGAGCAAAACTACCAATTTCCTATTCATTAATGGCTTCAGATTCTTTCTCATCTCATAGATCTTTAACCAGCACTTTCTTTGTTCTCACACACTTGCACTGAGCAATACCCATCCCTTTGCAGAGGAGCATTTTGCATTTATTTCAACCAATTCCTATCAGATATTAACATTTCCCCTCTCACCAAAGCCTTCAATGTGCTATTTTTAATCTATATGTTGATCTCTTTGCAATCCTTCTTTGCTGCAACTACATGCAGCTATTATCTTAGGACAATTTATTCTTTCTTCTTAGGTATTAATAGCATGAGTTCATCACTATATAATTTCTATACAATCATATATCTCATTATTAGCCATTTTGTATATTCTTTTCACAGTATTCTTGAGGAAGCATCTTTGCAATTTCCCTCATTGTTATATCAACATTTGAACAAATTCAGTTAATCAAATTCTCTTTCTCGTGCCCTGTTGTTTTGCAACTGAAGGTTGTCTGGTGTCCCCACTGTGATCTGTCTCTTATAAATGTCTCGTGTTTATTATTTGGGTTAGATCCTATCATTAAATGACAAATAACTTCATCATCCACTCCAATAGTTTATTCAGCCCCCAAAATAAAGTAACAAACTAAGAACCATTGCTGCTATCGGAAGTCACAAGTGCCATTTTTGTTGGGGATGCTGTAGGAAGAGATAAGCCTACCATTTACGCCCACATACTTCTGTGCTTTTCTTTGTGTTTAACATGGGACTAATAGTTTTCTTGCAAAGCTACAAAAACTGACCTCTTCTTTTCATGAACAAAATCAGTGGGGGAGTGTTCAAAACACTTGCTGACAGCATTTCACATTCTGTAAGGCATGGTGTTGGACGGTATTGTGAAAATAAATAGTTAAATACAAAATGCTACAATTTAAGTGGAAACTAAGAAAGAGATAGGAGTACTCTAATAATTTTGAGGGTAATACATTAACTCCTCCAGTACCACAGACAAATAATAGAAACAGCAAATATCCCAGCACTTTGGGAGGCCAAGGTGGGTGGACCATCTGAGGTCAGGAGTGTGAAACCAGCCTGACCAAAATGGAGAAACCCTGTCCCTACTAAAAATACAAAATTAGCCGGGAGTGGTGGCACATGCCTGTAATCCCAGCTACTCGGGAGGTTGAGGCAAGAGAATCGCTTGAACCTGGGAGGCGGAGGCTGCAGTGAGCTGAGATCGTGCCATTGCACTCCAGCCTGGGCAACAAGAGCAAAACTCCATTTCAAACAAAAAGAAAAAAGAAAAGAAAAGAAAGGGGAGAGGAGGGATGATAGAATACCCTAGATCATGCATTCTTAAAATAGTCTGCTTCTACCTATCTGGTAAACATCTGCAAGTTTTGTTGTGTGTGTGTGTGCGTGTGTGTGTGTATGTATGTTTCTAATCAATTTTCATTCTGTGAAAGATTAACCATCTTAGAGGCAGTGTTATATATTAGAAAGGTCCTATAATATTGAGTAATCCAGACCTGAATCTGAGTTCTGGTCCTTTAATGAGTGATTATGGGACCTTGGGCAACATGTGTTCTCTTTTAAAGTTTGGTTCCCTCTGAATAAAATTTGGATAATAATACCTAATTCCAAAGGTTGTTGTGAGGCTCAATTGTACTAAGATGCTTTGGGTAAGAGCTTAGCCCATAGACATAGCTGGGTTGTGGAAAAAGTTTATTTCTGTTTGTTGCTTTTCCTCTTCTTTCTCCAGTATTCTGTACCTCATCCCAATATACCCCTTTATATTTTTATTAAATATTTATATAAATTTATCCAAATTTTAATCACTTTTATTCCAAATTTAATAATTTTAATCCATTTAATCCAAATTTATTTTTGAATTGGGACTTTGGATAAGCCACCAATGTTTCTGTACTTTGGATTCTACACAGACATTATTTTGGGTTGGCATGGTACTTTTACTAGTTATCTCTAGTTACAGTTACCTGAGTTTGATTATCTAATGTCATTGTTCTAAACAGTGTTTGATATAATTCCCCATGCACTGCTTCTTCTAAACTCCATGTAAGAGATCTCTTTCAATTGGACTTTAATCATGTCTAAGAGTGAAATTATCTCTTAAACTGGTCTCAGCAAAGATTCACTCTAGCATGATTCTCAGGGTTGACAGAAATACTTTGTCTTCTTTAAGCTGGGGCTGTCTCTAAACCAGACTAAGATGAAGGGAGCCCATTTTTTTTTTTTTTTTTCAGAAAAAGTGTTAATCAAGGCAGATATTAATGTTATTTCTCATGTCAGAATTGTGAAAATGTATTTCCTATTTTCCTATTTTACCTCTGGCTTATTATGGAGTCTTCCTTAGGCAGCTCAAAAGTGATTTGGAATAGGCTTAGTTTCTTCACCTGTAAAATAGCATAAATACTACCTAATTTTTAGGGTTATTGTAAAGATAAAACAAGACGATGGACATTATTCAGTGACTAGGAAATACTAAATTATTAATGTTGTTTATTAATATTAAAACTAAAGTATTAATATTGTTCATGATTATTATAGATTATCATTACTGTTGTTATCTCACTTGATTCATGTAAAAGAGGCCAAAAACAAGTATAGAAGTTGAAGTTGAAAACATTCAGGCTGAGGTGTTTACATAGAAGCCAGGGCAGCAATGACATAGTAGTAAAACATTAAGACTTCAGGGTCACAATAAATTTCATATATATGTGTGTGTGTGTATGTATATATACAAATATATATCCTTTTTTCCATAAGGGGTTCAATCCTTTCTACTGACATTATCTCATTAATTCCTTCAGCATCCCTAATGAAACAGGTGGCCTTATTACAACTAAAAATTCACTTGCACAGACTTTGTAAATATTTAACATTAAAATACAAAAAAGAAACTTGCAGTTGCTAAATTTCAAAGAAGAAACAGGAAGAAAATAAAGAAGAAATAAAAAGAATTACAAATACTGTGGAAAACAGGAGTCATGCTTGGTTTCTTCTCAGAATTGTGTTTGATCTAAATCACACACATGATTTATTATAAATATCATTCACTGGCTAGCTTTCACTGACTTACTACAATCAAATAACTGCTATAGTCATGTCAGGAGTGGTCTCACACTCAGAGAATCTCTTAGGAAACACGCTATGAATGTCCACCTCAAGCAGGAGGCTAATGTCACATGTTCAGTGATTTCATTCTAGCTGAGGTGGTAACGTAGGATGATTTTGCAATGTCAAAATGGAGAGTTCAGAATTAAAATACATTTAAAAAATAAAAATATATCAATGACCCAATGCCAAATTAAAGAAAATTAAG